TTCAATGCGAATGTCTAAATAAGAAGAGTATGCTAAAAATGCAGTTGCCATATCGTGTACGATTTCAATGCGAAACTTAGGGTTACCACAGTACTCCCCTGCTAGACTTTTATGGAGCGAAACGAAGTGGAAGTCGAACTTTACGACCACTGCGAGTTTGTTTTTCAGCGATGTTGTGACATCTTTCGTACGTTGTTGGGGTGTTATCTTCGTTGAGGATGTGCGCTGGCTTTACCCTGTCTATTGAAACGTTAATGAGTTTGTTTCGTAGCCAGACCTTATACATCTTGTTGTTACGTAGTTCTACTTTGCACGGCCCCTCGTATGCCGGTGTTAGTGGTGGTTTCACTGCGTCATTGCGCACGAAAACATAAGTTGCTTTCTCCAGAGTTGGATAAATGAACGGTTTTTGTTTGTGGTGATGCGATGTATCAGTTGGCTGGATGTCGTGCATGTTCTCTATTAGTTGTTGTACGAACTCTGACTGCGGAACGTATTTTGTCTGCCCGAAGAAATCGCCGGGTAACTTCAGAGTTGTTCCGTATACCAACTCTGCGGGGGTGGAGTTAATGTCTGGTTTATGGGTTGAACGAAGGCCAAGTAGAATAATTGGAAGCTTTTGGGACCAGTTGCTTGAGTTTGTACATGTTATTGCCGATTTAAGTGTGCGATGAAACCTCTCTATGATACCATTGGCTTGTGGATGGTAGGCAGTTGTACGTAAATGTGACACACCGAGGACACGCGACAGCTCGTTAAATAGTTGTGATTCAAACTGCCTGCCCTGGTCGGTGGTTATTCGTAGAGGTACCCCAAAATGTTTAATCCAACCATTTATTAAAGCGGATGCAACCGTGTCTGCATTGATGTCGCTAATTGGTATTGCTTCCGGCCATCGTGTAAACCGGTCTATTATTGTTAAGCAGTATTTGAAGTTGTTCGATGGTGGTAACGGACCAATAAGATCGATGTTCAAATGTTCGAACCTTTGTGATGGCAGAGCATACTTCATTAGTGGAGAGAATATATGTCTACCTACCTTGGTACGTTGACATGTCAAACAGTGTTTAGTGAACTTGGCAATCTCTGATTCCATGTTTTTCCAAACGAAACGTTGTTTTATTAGTCGAGTATTTGCTTTCCTGCCTCCATGGCTGAGATTATGATACTTCCGGATGACTGCAGTACGACATGCCGATGGCACATAAGGTCGTGCTACTGAACCTGTAAAATCACAGATGATTGTGGCTTCTGAGTCTGGTAGCTGCACGGATTTTAATTGCAAAGAGGATGTATTAGAATCTAGGATAGCCTGAAGTTCCTGGCAATGCTGTTGTTCGCGTGCTATTTCATCGTAGTCGATTTCATCGTTGATGTGTAGAGCGTTAATCCGCGATAAAGCATCTGCTGGTGTGTTGGACGCGCCTGGAAGGTGTACAATACGTGTCGAAAATTGGCTAATTAGGTCCAAATATCTCAACCGCCGAGGAGAAGCGTTTTCGGTTTTCTGCGAAAATGCGTAGGTGAGTGGTTTGTGGTCCGTAGCAATTGTAAAGTTACGACCCTCGAGGAGGTATCTGAAGTGCTTGACTGCCTCGTAAATAGCCAGCAGTTCCCGGTCATACGTACAGTATTTCTTCTGTGCGCTGTTAAATTTTTTCGAAAAAAATGCGAGTGGTTGTAGCTCATTAGCTACCACTTGTTGGACCACTGCACCGATTGCACTGTCGCTGGCATCTGTACATAAGACAATGTCCGCGTCGGGAGCGGGGTGTGCAAGTGATGTCGCGTTTATGAGGTCACGTTTGCACCCTTCAAAGTGCTCGATTGCTTTGTTGTCCCAGTGAATTGGTGTCTGGTCGTTTTTCTTGTTGCCATTTATTAAAGACAAAAGAGGTTGTTGGTGAGTCAATGCGTGATGAAGAAAACGACGGTAGAAGTTTACCATTGCTAGGAATCTTTTTAATTCGGCAGCTGTCTTGGGCAAGGGATATTCCTTGATTACGTAAATTTTTTGCGGCAATGGCTTGATGCCGTTTGGTGTGACTAGATGACCTAAAAATTCAATTTGTGACTCACCAAAAACGCATTTTGAAATGTTGATGCTTAAGTTGTGTTTTCGTAAACGTTCCAGAACTCTACAAAGATGTTGTTCATGTTTCTGTGGTGTCTCTGATGAAATGCAAATATCGTCCAAGTAGCAGAAGGCGTAGTCCAGGCCGCTAAGAACTTCGTTCATATGCCTTTGGAACGTTTGCGCAGCGTTTCTTAAACCAAACGGCATGCGCAAGTATTCAAAGAGGCCGAAAGGTGTTGTTACGGCTGTCTTTGAAATATCCTTCTCTTCCATTGGTATCTGGTGGTAGCCGCGAGTTAAATCAATTTTTGAGAAAATCTTCTTTTTATGGAGACTTAAAGATAAGTCTTGAATTAGTGGCAGCGGGTACCTGTCGGGAGTCGTTTGTGCATTTAATGCGCGATAATCGCCACATGGTCGCCAGGAATTGTTGGCTTTACGAACAACGTGAATAGGCGATGCGTAAGCGCTCTTCGACGGCCGAAGAACGCCGATTTTCAGCAAGTATTCAAACTCGTCTTTGACCGCACGAAACTTTTCTGGTGGCAGACGCCGAGGTTTAGCAAAAACTGGTGGGCCGGAAGTTTCAATACAATGTGTCACAGTGGTTGTTGCCGCTCGCAAATCGTAAGGTGAGGAGAGATGTGTGACGTCGTGAAAATTACGTAAAATATGAGCGTATTTGTGGTTAATGTCGAAAAGTTTTGGGGTTGGTGTTGATAGGTCTACCGTTGCGACGGCATAACTTTTCAAATTCGTTTCTTTATCAATGATTGTGGCATTTTTGAGGTCGATAAGTATATTAAAATGTCGCAAAAAATCTGCACCAATAATGCTGTAAGGCGTATCCGCTACCAAGAAAATCCATTCAAAGGAGCGCCGAAGACCCAGGTCAAGCTTGACCCTCACTTGACCAAAGGTATCGATGGTTGACTGATTAGCAGCGTATAGTTTTGGCGATGCGTTAAACTTCCGAAGTCGGTCTTGTGGTGTGGCCTTAAGTAAAGACACGTCTGCCCCAGTATCTATTAAAAACTTGTTTTTTGATAAGGTATCATGAATAAAAAGGCGATTAGTAGAAGAAAAATGTATTTGTTTGAGGTTTGAACTTGCTGCGTTTGATAGTATGTTTGGGGACGCGCTATATGATTCGGTGACATTAGATGGCGATGCCACCGAAGTGCTTAGTTTTTTGGACACTGTTGAGAAAAACTGCACGGGCTGTTGCACTTCTTGGCTTGTGCGTTAAACTTCTTGTGGTACCAGCAAATCTGCTGTTCATTGTTCCGTTGTTGAAATTGGCTACGGTGACTTGAAGAGCTGTGGTCTTGACGTCGTGTAACCGAGCGGCTGCGGTTTGGGTTTGTTGATAAAAGTTTTTTCTCAATGCGAGCTAAAGTGCGCTCCATCTGACTGACACGGTCATCCAAGCTAGTTCCATTATTGCTAGTCAAGCTCGTTGTTTGTGGTTTTTTGAGGTTAGGATACTGTGGTTCGTATGATGACACTGCATCGACGCTATTGACCCGTACGGCATCAACAATTTCGTCCGCGATTGATGCTAGCTGTTCGACCGTCATTTCAGGATTTGCTTTTGTAACTCCAGCGATGACTGCGCGTGCTGAGACTGGTAGTCGTTGTATCCAGAAGTCCTTTATGAGTTGCTGGTCTCGTGTTACATCGGTTCGTTGCAGCTGGGTTAATAGGAAACTCGGTTTGTTGTCACCAAGCTGAATTCCTGATGTTAGCTGCTCCAGTCTTGCCATGGGTGATGTGGAGAATCTGGCCAAAATTGCTTGTCGTAGAGCATCGTACTTGCATTTCTCCGGTGGATTGCGGATAATTTCAAAAGTCTGTTCATGGAGCCTTTCATCCATGTGCATAACCGCAATATTGAATTTGGCTTGGTCACGCTGATCAGCATTCATTTTACCGAAGCCGATGATTGAAAAGTACGCCTCTAGTCGCGTGAACCAGGACTCTATGTTGTTGATGGAATGTCCGTGTAATGTTGGAACAGGCACCCTCATGGCGAGGCTGTCAACAGTATCGCTTTGAGCTGTCATGTGCTGCATTGGTTTTGGCGGTGTGACGCCGCTGTGCACGTAATTCGTGGGTGCTCCACTAGCACCTTGCTCTTCCTCGCCAGGTGGCATGTTGTAGCTTGTTGTACGCGTTCACTTCTTCGGGGTCACCACTTTGGACACTTTAATTCAATAGTCTTTATTTAACTTTATAATTATCTACAGATATG